CATTCTTGTTGTGGAAGTAAAGAATAGAGGTGAAAGCAGGCGGGGCTAATACACTATGCAGCTTCCTCCTCATTGTTATGCAGTACTTAGACTACCCTACCAGAACAGAATTCAATCAGTTGCCTAGCTCTGATACTAGACTTTTTGTAATCCTTCAGAAGGTAAACAATAAGAACAAACCAATTTGGGATAAGATTAGGAAGTCAGCCCAAAGAAAAGCAATAATTTCATTTGTTCCATCACAAGCTCAGAAGCATACACAGGATCACTTAAGCAGGCACTGACAATCAGGATTTATATTATGCAGAAAACAATATGAAGTACTTTAAAATAAAGCATCACAATAGTGCCAGAAAAACAATACAGCCTTCTCTGAGGAGAACTGAGAGTCACTTGGTGCTGATATAGTTCTAGATGGCCATAGTACCTTAGCCCTTAAACTGCCACTCTCTACGGCACATGGGGCAAAGGGGTGTGGATGTTTGAGAATTGACCCACTTCAGTATGCAGTGAAGATGGTAAGTATGGTTGCAGGCACCCCAAATGAGCGGGCAATCGTCACCAGGGAACTTACAGTCAGGACAGCAGCCGTCAAAAGCCATCCTGCATATGCCACATGTCTCATCCTGTGCATCCCACGTCCAAGAAGCCACTGCATGCCACTGAAGAATCTTGACCTTCATACTGTTACCTGGAATGCAACAATATATAGATGAGGGCCGTTGTACTCCTGCAACTTGTCATATGCAGAATCCATCGAAAAAGTAATGTATGGACAGTTTGAATTAGTACTCCACTACGCAGCAAAGAAATCCTCAACCAACTGATGGAGAGAATGAGATATTTGGACTTTAATATATTACTGTTCAGAGTGACTCTTGCAGGAAACAAAATACGAATCCATTGAAAATAGGGTTTCCCACCAAAATACAACCCCAAATCCAGATAGGTCTCCTGACAGCAATGCCAGTGCCAGTAGAGAGGAGGGAGTAGGACAAGAACTAGTGATGGAAAAGTTCCTTCAGGGTTGCTGGATGCTACATAAGAAACAGTGCCCCAGAACTGAATCAACAGGATTGCTAACTATTACACGAGAGACTATGGGAGTTTCGCATCTATTGATGACTTGATCTCAAGTTTCATGGTGAGGAATAGGTATGCAGGGCGGGTTGTCCACGAACCCACAGATAGGCTAAATTTTGCGGGTTATGCTCAAGCATTTTTGCTAGTACATGCTTGACGCCTCTTGATACTACTAAACGTCCCAATTAAGTACACGATAAAACTAATCAATACATTTCCATTCCCAATCATACGAGCACTGAACTACTGATTGTACCAAAACTTCTGCAATCTACAGTACACGCATCATTGCAATTGCAAATCCGATTGAAAAGCAAAGGCACTTAGGCGGCAGTTAGGCACACACCTGCCGACCTGCGCTCCAAGAGTCTCTGTGCCGCGTGCGCTCCTTCTACCGCTCAGCTCCCGATGCGGCCGGCCGCTAGGGTTAGGGACGGAGACGCGAGGAGGAGAAACAGAGGGGAAGACGCCACGCCTCGCGCACAGCCTCCCACGTGCACGCCGCCGCCGCCGCCGTCTCTGCGTTCCGAGCCGCTTGACGCCGCTGCGGCGTCCCGCGTGGCTCACCTCGCGCACAATCCCGCTGGACAGCTTTTCGCCGTCACTGCCTCACTTGTGCTCGCCGCTCCCGCTCCGCTGGATGTAGCCTTTGCCCGGCCTAAGCCCACAAGGCTCAGTGGACAGCACAGATCCTGCTAAGAACAAATGTTCTCGGCCCAAAATACATATTTTACCTATTGAAAAAAGTCCATATTATCTCTCTCAACTTTTGCGAAGTCTATTTTTTCTCCTTGAACTCTAAAACTGGGCAAACCACCTCCTTGAACTTTTAAAACCGTTTGTTTTACCCCCTGACCGGTTATAGGCGGTTTTCAAATACGGTTTTGTTTTTTTCTTTTTTATTTATTTCGGCTTAATTTTAAAAAATAATAGTAAATCACAAAAAAATCATAAAACGGAAAATCTAATTTTGTTGGACTCCACGTGTGTAGATCTACACAGAGAACATATAATATGGTATGCTTTAGTATAAATTTTTGTTGTAGTTTTAGATCTATGCTTTTCTATAATTAATTCATAGCTGCAGTCTCTATGGTCTAATTGTGGTGGAATTTTTAGTGTAGACTAATTATTGTATGCTTGAACTGTAATAAAAATTTTATAATCATTGGATCATATATAAAAATTTCAGCCTCGTTAGGGTACCTACCTGTTAGCGTGGAGCATGGCAGCCGCGATGGCGCCGGGGGGTCATAGGGGCTCCGGCAACTGCGGGGGGCAGGGGTCGCTGGGGCAGTGGCAGCTACGCATACTCCAGTGATGTTTGGAGCTATGACTCTATGAGGGCTCCAAGGGTTGAAACGCCTCGGGCGATGGGACATGTGGGAGCACCGGGGTTGCAGGGGCGACGGCGCCCACGAGGACAATAGGGGTCGTAGACACCGAGAGCTGTTGGAGCACCGGGGCTCCGCACGGTACCGCGGTAACAGTGTTTTTTTAGAGTTTCAGGGGTGGAGAAGAAGACAAGGACATCGACACATTGAGCCCATGTCGCATACGCTTGACCAAACTACTCCATCCGTCGTTTTTCGCAAAGTCAAACAATATAAGTTTGATCTTGTTATTTTTTCTATAAACCTACTCAAGAGATTATTTGATCTCTCAACAAATGAGATTTATATTATTTTTATTTAAGACGGAGGGGGTAAAAACAAGGACAATCTCGTCCATGCAACCAAACAACAGAACCAGAAGTCTTGTTCTAAAAAACAGGTATGGAACTGTCATGTCCTTTCTAGTCTTCGAATCAAACACAACCTTAGGTTATTTTTGGAACATAGTAATTTCATATTGTCCAAAAATTTCACAAGAAAACGATTTATTTTCATTGAAAATGGAAAATTTGTGGCGTTCTAAATGGGAGCTTGGGCATATTGCTGTAATCTCTGGTTCTCTTTCTGTTCTTTTCTACATGTCACATAAGGTGTGTCCTAAGTCAAACATTTCTATCTTTTTGACCATCCATTTTTAAAAATCCTTATAGTTTACAACATATGAATTATATATTATGAAAGTACTTTTCGTGGTAAATTTAAAATATAAATTTTATGTTATGGATCTATTTTTTAAATAAAGATTATATTTAACTTAGGACAAACCTAATATGATGTATAAATAAAAACAGAGAGAGTATCGGATAGTGACAAAAACACGTGCACCATCGTGCCATTTTTGCAGCCCAGCAGCCCTCGCGGTCCGGGGTGCCCAAAATCCATTGGGCTTGCTCGAAAGATGGCCGTATAGCCCAGGCGGAACAAGAAGCAGCGGTTGGTTGGCAATGTGCAGTAGAGGCGTAACGATTACGTATCAGGCCCTGTGCATTGCGCAATACATGGCGTGTTAGCTTTGAACAGGCGTGACAGAATCATATGATCTAGACTAGATCTACCGATCTCCATAAACCGCCAACAGTTCGTGCGCTTCATCCGGCAAAGGCAAAACACACTCCTGTTCCAGAAAAGATATACTACCTATCTATTCAAGCTACAAGCAAAGTAAAATTAATTTCCTTGTTCCGCAAAAACTAGGACCATTCTTCTGTCTGAAGCTGAAGAAGACTGACGATGAGAATGGTATGTATATACTGCTGCACCACATGCGGTATACACGGTCGTATATCTTCTGGCCTGGTTTCCAGCAGGCAGCATCACGGCACGACCGACGACCGCACGAGAGAAAGTCGGCTCCAGGTCCCGGCGCCGGCGGACAGCTCATCCCCGACGTGCGCAGACGCGGGTTTAAGGCACCGCCCAGACACCGAATTCGCGCCGGCTCATCATGCACCGACCCCGAGCGGCCGCAATGTTGCCCTGTTCGCATGACCATGGCTAAAAGTACCGCCGGTTGATTGATTTGCGGTGAAAAAAACAATTTATTAACTTAAAAAAATACGACTTATCAGTCTAAGCGAGAAGCGAGCAGGGTCCGAAATTTTACGTGTACTACTCCACTAACTTCGATCGGGCCATCAGGGTCGTTTCACACGGTTCTCTCGGCAGGTACACTGGACTATGCTACAACACATGGATTAAATTTAGCTAGACCAGTTTAAAAAATTCAAACAAGATGGTGAAACGCAGGCAGGTAATATGACCAGGTCACCTTTGGGAGTTCAGAGACACTGGCAGAAAAAGTACAGTATATCGAAGAATCGGTAAACATGGCCACTTGTGCTAAGATCACCCCCACCCAGTGGGTCTTTCTCGATTCAGAACATGGAAAAGGAAGCCACGCTGAGGTGCAAAATGTTTCTTACCCTCCCATGATTCAGGTGATCATGTCCATATCATAGAGCTGAAATAATCTACCGGTTCGCTTGACTGATAAACCAAACTAAAAAATAATCTATTTTTTTTATAACTAATCTGTCTTTTTTATAACTTGTTTTAAACAGTGTTTTTTCTCTACAAACGGAGGTGTTTCAGCTATTTCGGCATCCGGGGCTTTTTTTTTACTCTCATGATTGACCTGTTTTGCAGGAGAGCGAACAGAGCCACTATTGGCTTTGACTGAAAAAACTGAAAAAGTACCAGACTTATAAGCGAGCAAACAGGGCGAATAGACCTTTCCTCATCGAAATAAATGCATGAAAGACCGGCTACGCAATTGGCAAGATCTCCTGATGACGAAGAAACGAAGCAAATGGAGTAGCATGCTGGTCTGTATATTTTCCTGACCAGCGACCAAATTGCATATGAGCACAAGAGGAGAACTATTAGAAAAGTATTATCACGCAAAGAAATTTTCTTTTTCGACATTCAATTCTTCTTGAAATATTTTTGAACAAAATTAGGGGTAATTAGCAGGCAGCGACAAGCAATCTCAGAACAATTTCTCTTCCACATTTTGGGAGCGAATTAGCGAAATACACCCGACAACCATCCATCGCGAATTGTAGCTGCACCTTCCACCATCCCAATAGAACAGAATTTCACCGAGATCCCAGGTTCTGGAAAAGTAGGGGAAAATGGAAATTAGAGGCGAATAGCGCATCACTTCATCAGAAAAACGAGCTAGCGCTATCTTGCTGCTTAAGAGGTGAGCCAAAAGGATGACAACTTGTGCTGATGAGCTTGTAATTTGCTAGAGATCTGTCCCATGTACCTGTGACTTCCCTAACCATTTCAGGAAGCAACGATGAACGATGTATGATGAGAGGCACAAGGACAATGGCAATAATCGTACCAATAGTCCATACAAACAGTAAAATGAAGATTAAAAGCTTCTGAACTTGCTGGGCAGAACCCATTACCCAGGGGAAGGACAGGACGTCAGGACCCATGCTCGGGAACCAAAGCAGCCGGCCGTCGCCGTTAGATGTCCGAGAATATTGAGAAGAAGAACGGAGGACCCGATAAAAGGGGGAGGGGGGAAGAAGAAGAAAGCGTGATCCGTACCAGCCATGGATGAGCTCGGAGCACTTGGCCTTGATCCAGCGGAACCCCCTGCGGAACGATGCCTTGACCTTGCCCTCCGCCGAGTAGGCCTTGTAGCTCGCCACCCGCCGCCGCCTCTTCAACTCCGGGTCGCTGAAGCACCACGCCGACCCCGCCCCTCCGCCGCCGCCGCTCCTTGTGGATACCGGCAGCGGCGGCGGCGACGACCTGGCGGGCGGCTTGACGACGATGTCGAGGCGCCGGTCGCCGTAGGGCACGACCTCGTTGCGGTAGGGGCGGTCGTACTCACCGGCGGGGGCGGGGGGCGCGTAGGGGCGGTACGCGCGGGCGTAGTCGGCGGCGGCCATCGCGAGGCGAGAGCGAGACGACGCGGGGGCGGACCGCGTGGAAGTCTCGCGGCGTGGCGTTTGTGGAGAGAGAGAGAGAGAAACGCCGCTGCCTTTTCCTTTTTTGTTTCGGTGCTGTTGATGTAGCGCTGGCGACTTGCCTGCGAGCCAGTTTCGTTTTTATGCTTAAGCTTTGATAGGCTGCCGTTTTCTTTAGAGTAACATTAAACTTCACTTAAGTGATTTCATTTGAGTGATTTAAGGTTTTCTTACTCGAATTTTCTACCAATTCAAAAATAGAATACGGGCGTTAGGATTCCAAATCCGAAGGCCTACACGAGTCTATTAGGCTTAGAGCGATTGCTAGAAGAGAAGGTCGGTCTTTCGGTGGTGGCCGGCATAGGACGACATCGGGAGGAGGAAGATGGTTGGACTGGGGATCTAAAGACAGAAGATGAGGAGAACATGTGATTGCCTCAACAGTCTCTATCGGATTACCGTGGCGGTGATTATAGACGATGCTATTAGAGCTAGACGAAAGATAGTGGCGACAGAGGATCTCATACAGAAATAAAAAAAACAATGAGAAAAGATACATTCGATAGATTTTTTTTATGCCTAGCACAAGTTATTATACCCTAATTTTTTACTATTTAGCATTTTTATGAAGAAAATTTATGTTTAACCTTTGAAAGACTTAAATTTATCTTTGACACTAAAGATCGACGCCATGAGTTTTGACGTCGAGATAACATGTCTCGACCTCAGATATCTTAGCGTCGAAATGTCGGGTACATCGACATTAAAACATATAGCGGATACATTGTCAAATCGAAGCCGGGAAAGCCGAGGCCGAGCCCTGCCCGGACTGCCTGCCCCTGCTGGCTGCTGCTCGGCTGCGCAGTTTGCGCTGTTTGCTGCATGAATTCGGAAGGATTTTGAATGATTTAAAAGAATATTAGAAAAATTTATGAGAGAAAAATATTATTTTAAATTAAAAAAACAGATTCAATCGAGTTTAAAGGTACGTGAACAGCGCCTTAAGGCTAGTTTAGTTTGCAAAATTTTTGGCAAAATAATACTGTAGCACTTTCATTGCTGTTTGTCAATGAGTGTCCAATTATAATCTAATTAGGCTTAAAACATTAATCTCGTGAATTTCGTCTAACTATGTAATTAGTTTTATTTTTTATTTATATTTAACGCTTCGTGTATGCATCTAGAGATTTGAAATGACATAGAATCTTAAAAAATTTAGCACCTTCGAGCGAAACTAAACGGTACCTGAGACTCTGGCCATAGATCGAAAAGTTTGTGCACGAACTGACGTTGGAATGGACAGGACAAAGAGAGACCGTGCACGCAGAGAGACTGTGCAGGCGGAGTGATGGCGTCGAAGAGGTGAGTGGAGCAGGGCGGCGTGCCTGTCCTGCTGCAGCGATAGCTAGCTAGGGCCTAGACCCTGATAGGTAGCGTTTAACCGTAGCACTGTCCGTTCGTCAAGAGAGAGAAATTGAACACTTCCAACCAGCTAGGGCCTAGATCACAGACCCTAGGAGTAGTCTTTTCAGTGGTCGTATAATATGTGTTCTTGCGCCTCTTATGCTGCAACTAGAAAAATGTGCCATACATGTATACAAGCTGGTACCAGTACTGATACTTCCTCGGTCCCTAGCTAACTATGAGTCTGTTCGGCTGTTCAGTTTTTTATGATTTTGAACGATTTAATAGTATTATATAAGAAAGAATACGTTGAAACAAACTAAAACAAGATCAGAAGTGGTCAGTCGACCAGGCTGTATTATTTTAGATTTTTATGTCATAAATTTAACTAAATTTATAAAAAAATATATATAATATTTATGTCTTTAAGTAAATTTATTATAAAAATAAATTCAACGATCTATCTAGTGATTTTAATTTTGTAGCATAAATATTAATATTTTGATATATACATTTAGTCAGTTGTTTCTTATGAAGTGAAAACGATAATTATTTAGGGACGGTGGAAATATTACTTTTGTACTAAAAAGAAATATATGTTTATGAGATTGAATATGTTTGCTATAAAAATTTAATGTGATTCATCTAATGATGTTTATTAGATATAATAAACCATTTACTACAAATTTAATCAAACATATTCTTTGTATTACTAAACTGTGTGGTTGCTCCTGACTCCTTGTGCAGTGAAGTGTGCAGTGAAGTCCACACGGCACGGCCCCTTAAATTTTTGTCCTGTCCATTCCAACGTCAGTTCGTGCACAGTCTCTGTTCGTGCACAAACTTTTCGATCTATGGCCACAGTCTAGCAAAGTGCGCAGTCGAGCAGCAGCCAGCAGGGGCAGGCAGTCCGGCAGGGCTCGGCCTCGGCTTTCCCGGCTTCGATTTGACGATGCATCCGCCAAGATCGATCTTGCCGCCGAACTCGGCGATATGTATTTTGACACCGACATAACGGTCACCGCCCTGTTCGTTTGGTCGTGGTTAGTCATAAACGATCGTAAATCTTTAGTTGGAATAATATTTTTCTTTCACGTAAATTAATTAGTAATATTTTTTATGAACCAGCAACGAAACGAATTAGCCAACCGAACAGGCTACACGTTGATGTCTAGAATTTTCTGCAGTGCACGGTCAAGTATCTCGACGTCAAAATCTATAACACCGAGGGTGTTACCTCAACGCTAGGACTTATGGTGCCGACCCCATAGTTAAAGATGAGTTTAAGTCTCCTAGATAGATAAACGTAAATTTTCTTAGGAAAAAAGCCAAATAGTAAAAAAATTAGGTTATTATACTATATAAGCTTTAGCACAAAATCACACTATATACACATATACACACACTATGGCACCTGTTTAGTTGGATGACTGAGAAACTTAATTGCCCAGACAATGATCTTAGACATTCGATACTGAGAGCATGTTTGTTTGCTCTACTATCACCCACCAAACAGCCATCACAGCTCTAAATGTCCGAAATCAGACGTATGAGAATGCTGTCTGGACCGAGAGCCGTTTGGGAGGCACCAACCAAACATGCCCTAAAGGCTTGAAAATGGATCAAGCTGCCTGGCCGTGGCTCCGAAGCCAAGATGAAAACTAAGGACCTCTTGCTGCTGTCCCTGTCGGCCTCGGGCCGACAGGAGCGACAGGGGCCGCATCCGCAAAGAACCCTACCAAACAGGTCCTAAACACGCGCCAAGCTAGACATGCTCCTGACGCTCCACTCGGCACATGCGAGTACCCGACGACGAGCCAACTGCTCGTTCGCCGCAGTACATCCAGTGCATTTTAGAGCCGGGCCTGCTAGGACTAGGATAGGAGCAGCAAAGGGCACATGACGAACGCTTTTTTCGGGAGGATCTTCGACCTGCAACTCGTGCCCTGGGCGTACACGCAGCAAGCCTGCATCCCACGAAGCTGAAGCCGAGATTCTTGCGAGGACTGGCACTGGCAGTCGGCCGGCACGTCTCAAAGGTGCACTAGCTACAAAAGTCAAACCATGAGAGGTACGTAGGCAGTAGCAAGGACGAGGGCAGAAAAGGAAAGCCTGAGGTTAGCCAGATTCCGAGCGCAAAAGCAGCTTTCCCCCACCCTGCAAAGCCAACGAGTACTAGCCAGTGGCTAGTAGGACCGTAGGAGCGTGGAGCAGCGGTCTAGTCCAACGCCACCGAAGGGAAAGGCAGCACGAAGACGGAAGCATTTTTTTTTGGGAGTACTCTACGCTAGCTTCCAGTTCCACCGAGCAACAACGCGACTAGAGGAGGCGGAGCCTCGGAGGCAATTCCGCGGTCAGCTTGTCTCGAGCTAGTGGTAGCCGGTAGCATTACCCAGGTCTTGTTTAGATTAAGTTTTTTCACTTTTTTTTCATCACATCAAATCTTTGATATATGTATAGAGTATTAAATATAGATAAAAAAATAACTAATTACACAGTTTGATTGTAAATTACAAGACGAATCTTTTGAGCCTAGTTAGGCCATAATTGGACAATAATTGTCAAATACAAACAAAAGTACTACAGTGCCAAATACTGATTCCCAACCATCATCTAAACAAGGCCCAATGATAGAAAACTACATCGGCGGCTATTAAATTAATTATTAACCAGAAGAACAACCCGCACGTTGCTACATGAAGTGCTGATTTAGAATAAAATTTAACTATTTATATAATTCTTAGAAATGGATTAACTATTATAAATTAATGTTAGTGAATAGCGTGTCATGTTGAGGTGGACAACTAAATATATATTAGTGGATGATGTGTCTCGCTGACGTGGATTTTATAATTGCTTATGCTAGTAAACTTTAATTGTAAGTGATAGTGGACTGATGAGATAGATATCATGCATGCAATTGACAATACACTGCTGAGGTGGATACATTACGCGTAAAAAAAATTGATTTTGCTTTATAAGAGTACAGAATCATCGAAGCATCATGCATCAATCAGCTGAGAATCCACGCATCACCATTCACCAGCTAGCTCCTCCTTCCGCACGGTCACGGTGCATTACACAGAATTGGACCAAGTATTATAACCACGTACTATAATGAGAATCGGCTCTCAGCATCTTCGATCGGTTGGTTCGTATCGTTACTGATTCGTTTACGTAAGAAGAATAATGTTTTTGTGAGTTGGTTGGTCAGCCTAGCTCCAGCCAGTCAGCCCAGCGATCAGACTGTCTATTCGTTTGAACTATTTTAACAGTATTTTTTATAGATACATAGTATTTTTTTCTTTTAACAAATCAACGTAAGCCGTATAAGTTAAATTTTAGCTAAAGCGTTCTCCGTCCTGGCAACGCATCGTCTGGCAACGCATCGTGTTCTTTTCTCTCGCCTAGTACGCAGAATAGACGACGCCCGCCCCTGCCGTGCCACTTTCCGCGGCTTTGCGTATGGTTGTGTGTAGTTGTTAAAAACTTTCAAAAAAATGCTACAGTAGTCATCACATCGAATCAGAGTATTAAATATAGACGAAAAAAAAATTAATTACACAATTTAGTTAAAA